GCAAATTGGGTTTTAATAACATCAGGCAGGTTAACTTGATAAGAGACACTTCTATAGATTGTGCCCAGAGACATTAAGGACTAAGTGCTACTGTAACCACCAGCCTCAAGAGATCCAAGAAAACTTGGAAGCCAAGCAAACCTGATCCAAACAATCTGATGAACGACCTCAACTAAGAAATAACACAATATCACTTATCTGAAGAATGCAAGGCCTTCGTCCACTGCCCGTGTGCTTTTCATTCAATGGTATGCCCTATTTGTGCTAAATGAAGGATGTGATTTTATTTCCAGCCCAAAAATAGGCATGAAATCTTCTTAACGATGATGACAAAACAACTGCACAAACCAGACTAGCTTCTATCTGTATTCAACCATTAAATCTGTAATCTGACACATCAGAAAATGAATGTTCAACAACAACAAAAAAATTTACAGTGTACGCTAAGATTTTTATTTGGAATAAAATGACGCACTGGACCATGCAACAATAAGACCAGAATCATGCATTAAATCAATTCTGACAAAAAGTCAACTTGCTCTATGATTACACTATTGATCATTTCAAATGCTGTCATACTGTTTGAAAGCAGCAGGACATTTCTTGCATTTGTTCAGGCATGCACTGCTGTATTTTGCAGATAAACTAAAAGTGCATCTGGGTTCCCGTGCATGTCATATGTGGGCTGGGCTAAAAGTTGCAGAATACCTGAGAAATCAGACTCATAACGCCTAAAAATTGTCCGAAGACATCAAAAGACCTCATTGTTACAAACCCGTTTCAAATGCACTTCTATGCATGTCACACTTTTAATTAAAAACAAAATCACTGAAACCAAAGATCACACAAAATGCTTAAAATGTAGGCCTAACAATTCTCTAACGGAAATCAAGAATTAGGGAATCGGGCACAAAAACAACCACTCAACCAGATTGAGCAACCCTGGAACAACCCTCAACAGATAAATCACATTGTATTCGTCAACATCCCAACACAATCACGAGCACACAAACACAGCAAGACTCAACAGATACCACTATAAATCAGCTTTCCACTCATAAATAGCGGTTTGCTTTTTAATGAAACAAACACGGATAACCGAAAATCTTCACTGTGACATCTTAATGCATGGATTAACAATGCAAAACATTATTATATACGAGCATTATAAATGCTAAGCGCGATAGTTTAATGCATGCATTAACGATGCAAAACCATGCACAAATATTCAATATGAGCATTATACACGTTAGAGGTAAAACACACTCTGAGGGAGAGGTGAAACAGGAATGCTGGCCACATAAAGGGCCACTGATCGAGGTTTGCCATCAAACTGGCGATTAATCATTTTTAGTAAAGTGTAAAGATGCAGTATACAGGTATTTCATGTTTTAAACAATGCATTTGATTACTGCATAAGCCACGCTGAAACAGGTACAATGCTTTTGACAGAACACACATATCTGCCCCTGCCAGGCTGCGCTCGCGCTGTGTGTGCATTAAAAGCGATAAGAGCAGTATGTTGGAGGAATCAGTGTTTCTTTAAAAAAACAAGAGAAGAAACCCCTCACAAACCCCCGTTACATCGCACGCACGTACGTTTCCCCTCACAACACAAATGCGTATGTAATAATAAAGTATATGTACCTTGATGCATCGAGAGAAGCTCTTCAAACAGTCCTTCTGTTTTCACATCTCACAGCTTTCCGAGCGCCATCTTGCCTGCAAGCTTGTGTGACGTGAGAAATCCTCACCCCTGACCCAAATTTGAATAAGAAGCATTATACACGTTAGAGGTAAAACACACTCTGAGGGAGAGGTGAAACAGGAATGCTGGCCACATAAAGGGCCACTGATCGAGGTTTGCCATCAAACTGGCGATTAATCATTTTTAGTAAAGTGTAAAGATGCAGTATACAGGTATTTCATGTTTTAAACAATGCATTTGATTACTGCATAAGCCACGCTGAAACAGGTACAATGCTTTTGACAGAACACACATATCTGCCCCTGCCAGGCTGCGCTCGCGCTGTGTGTGCATTAAAAGCGATAAGAGCAGTATGTTGGAGGAATCAGTGTTTCTTTAAAAAAACAAGAGAAGAAACCCCTCACAAACCCCCGTTACATCGCACGCACGTACGTTTCCCCTCACAACACAAATGCGTATGTAATAATAAAGTATATGTACCTTGATGCATCGAGAGAAGCTCTTCAAACAGTCCTTCTGTTTTCACATCTCACAGCTTTCCGAGCGCCATCTTGCCTGCAAGCTTGTGTGACGTGAGAAATCCTCCCCCCTGACCCAAATTTGAATAAGAGGCAGTAAAGAGAGGGGGGAGAGAGGGTAAATGCCCTGCCTCTGCCAGCCACACACTCTCATTTTACTAAACAGCCCAGGGCTCCTGAGATGGTGTAACGTGCCATGACCTGCCACTGCTGCTGCCACATTTGCAATCCAAATTCTTCTCTGTGTGTGTGTGTGTGTACCTGTTTTTCTATTCTGGTGGGGACTTAAACCTGAATACACACAGACTCATGGGGACTCGTGTCACGGTGGGGACCTAAATTGAGGTCCCCACGGGTAAACAAGCTAATAAATCACACAGAATTAAGTTTTTTGAAAATCTAAAAATGCACAAAGTTTCCTGTGAGGGGTAGGTTTAGGGGTAGGGTTGGTGTAGGACAATAGAATATACGGTCTGTACAGTAGAAAAACCATTACGCCTATGAAGAGTCCCCACAAGGATAGCTAACCAGACATGTGTGTGTGTGTGTGAGACTGTGCATCTTCATCATGCTCAGGGGTTGCTATCATTTCTAATTCTAGTATAGTAAAATATACATGCATGGAATACTTGTAGAAGTGTACTTTTGATTTTGAAGGGAAAATGTGGTTAAAAACAGCCTCTCAAATACACCGAAAAATACATTGGCATAGAAACAGTTTTCACTCAGAAATTGTCTGTCAATTTCACTAAAAACAAGTAACACATTGAAGTAAGCGAAGTAGACAAACTCAAAAAGTATGTTCTTGTAAAACCAAATTTAAAAATACTTTTACAGTGCATTTAGTCAAGCCACATTTATTTATAGTGCTTTATACAATAGCCTACTGATGTATTAAAAGCAGCTTTACAGTAATAAACAGGAAACTAACTGTTAATGATGCAAAGTTAATCGATTACAGTTGTGCGGAAGACAATAGTGTCATTATTCAGCTCAAACAAGTTCAAGTGTTTGTATTCTCATCATCTGATAGTGTCAGTACAGTTAGATACAATAGCATTTTCTAAATATTGACAAGTCTTTTTAAGCACTTAGCTTTTTAGCCATATACATTTATATCAATTGTAGCCTAAAAAGTCTATAATATGTCAGCTATGCATCTTGATGTTGTCGGGGTCTTTTATGTCTTGGGACATTATTGTAAGGAAAAACATGTAATTTTGATATTAAAGACTGATTTCAAACCTACAGGTGTGTACGTTTTTTTTTCTCCCACTAATTTCTGAAATGTGAGGCTATATGTAGGCCGACATCTTGATATATTTATTAGATTCATCTTGGCTACAATAAATATTTGTTTAGAAATTAAATTACAAGAACGCTTATTAATACAAATGACACTTGTACAGAGATTTTACTGACAAAATAATGAACCATGTTTACAAGCGTTTGATTTTGCTTGAATAGTTGTTGTTTTCATGTTTAAGTCAAACTTTATCTTAATATTAAATCTCTGACTGAGGCCAGACTGTTTTGCTGTTTTGTATGCTAAGTACTTCTGGTTTTCAAGCCCCTGGTGTTTTGAGAGACCAACAAGAACAGCAGGTTTGTGAAGAAATTTCCGTTGACAATTCGTTAACAGGTTGTTACAGCAGTAGAAGTGAAACTATGTTAAACATGATGAACTATAGAAAGTATAGAAAAAGGAAGTATAGACGTATAGAAAAGGAAATATGTATGTAAGATGTATTTATTAAATGCCAAGATAAAAATTCCCTTTCTATTTTTTCTTTCAGTTTAGGAAATGTTTCATTTTTTAAATTACATATACTACAATAAGCAGACATGTGTGGCCTAAAATACCAGGCTTAAGTTGATCCGCAGTTGAGTGATTATTGTTGTCACATGTAGAGTGTGTTTGGGACAGAATGTGCAGCATTAATAAAATGCTCTTACACCCCCCAGTGGACTCGTTTTGTTTTACTTTCTCATATTGAAGCAGATTATTGTACTTTTTATGTAAAGAATATGTATCTCCGAGGGCGTACTTTTGGTTTGGACATTGGGGGGGTTGAAGTGTGAACTGTTTTAGTAGAGTCCCGGGTCATGCTCACTCATAAGGTTTATTTATTTGTTTGTTTGCTTATATATTTATTTTTGTGACATGGTCTTTTGTGCTATCATCTATGCAAAGTTGGTGCAATAAAGTAACATCATAGTTAACAATTACTTGTTTACACACACACACACACACACACACACACATACATATATCTGTTTTGTTGTATCATCTATGCAAAGTTTGTGCAATAAAGTAACGTCATAGTTAACAATTACTTGTTTACACACACACACACACACATATATATATATATTGCCATCAGCAATATCTGCTGCTACTTCCTCAATTGTGGTTACAATTTAATTAGTTTTATATAAGCGTGTTAATGTTACATACAATATAACTTTTTCGTTGCCTGAAATAATAGGTATAAACTTTAAATGAAATAAAATAAAAAACTGATGTAGTATAATAAGTAAAATCGAAATTAAAATGAATGAAAACTATATAGACATACTTAAAATAAATAAATTAATAAACACAAACACAACAAAATTATTTTAAAAATTAACTAAAATGAACACTATAAAATTAAAATTATAGCATTCCAATGATGGTAAAATAACACTGCATTTGTCCACACATGATGCACAAATGATCGTTTATTACTTTTATTCGTTTATTTGAAGTGACTGAAGGGAATTCAACGCGCTTTGCATTGTGGGCAAAGGCAAATCCAAGATGGCGGCGAGCAGGCGACTGCATAAGGTAAATATTCCGAAAAATCTGCTTTTATGCATACTAAATAGATATTTTACTCGCTTTACCTCCGTGAATAAGAATAATGTCAACTTGAATCACGGTTGGTCGGAAAGCTGAAACTTTAGAGCATTCTGGTGTGAAATGTGACGAGGATAACGAGGAAGAAGCTAACGATCTTAGCCGTAGTTCGAATTTACACTTATAATGGAAATATAAATAAAGATAAAGCTCATATATGATAATCAGTGTTCTGGGTGAGTCTAATTTATGGTGTGCTTCAGAATAAACTTTTGCACGTCTGTTAAAGAGTGTTGTCGTTGACAGATGATGAGAGTAGATAAGACAGAAACTACCTTATCTGTAAGTTTATCAAGTAAGATCAAATCAAACATAGTGATCAAATTGAAATATAATGAATACTAACTACTTTAATATAACAGATGAAGTTTTCTGAAGTGTTCTTAGTGGGTAATTTAATTTATGATACTATGAGAAAGAGAAACAGGAAGTATGTCTGTTTTCTTCCTTGAAATCATTTGTAATTGACCAAATCTTTTTAAGATTAATGTTTTTTTTTTTTTTTATAAATATGAGTTCTTTTAGTTTTGAATGATTACATTCATATTTCAGACTCTTGGGCTTCGCAGCCTGTTAAATGTTCAAGACATAAAAATAACAGCATTATCAGTATTTTGCGTGAATTTGTGCCATTTTAACAGATTTAAATACAAATGGCTTGAATTACAATGTAAATTTAACTATAGATTTTTAACTGTAGATGAGAATTGTTCACACGACCACAATGAAACCGAAAGTATTTTGTTCTCACTTTGTGGTTTCTCAAATCTCTCAACAATTCGTGAAGTATCAGGTTTCTTTGTACCTTCATATACTGTGTTTAACAGGAACTTGATGAAATCCGCAAGTCTGGAATGAAAAATTTCCGCAGCATTCAGGTGGATGAGTCAAACATTCTGACCTGGCAAGGACTCATTGTTCCTGTAAGTTTTTATTGAATGCCAATGTGTTTTTTTTGCAAGAATTGCATGCATAAATACTGTATATCACCATCATCTCTCAATTTGAACCATTTCGAATGCGCCCCGCTTTCTTTTTCAGGACAACCCTCCATACGACAAAGGTGCGTTCCGGATTGAGATCACATTCCCTGCAGAATACCCCTTTAAACCTCCCAAAATCACATTTAAAACCAAGATCTACCACCCGAACATTGATGAGAAGGGTCAAGTGTGTCTGCCGGTCATAAGTGCTGAGAACTGGAAACCTGCAACCAAAACTGACCAAGGTATGGCACATCTCTAAGCCATTTTATCCGCCTCACACCCATAATATCTGCATTAAATATTTCCCCCCCCCCTCTTCCCCCAGTAAAAGGGTCAAGTGTGTCTGCCGGTCATAAGTGCTGAGAACTGGAAACCTGCAACCAAAACTGACCAAGGTACGGCACGTCTCGAAGCCCTTTTATCTCCCTCACACTCGTAAAATATTGCCATTAAATATGTTTTCCCCCTCTTTAACCAGTAATCCAGTCTCTCATCGCCCTCGTCAACGACCCCCAACCAGAACACCCGCTGAGGGCCGACCTGGCAGAGGAATATTCAAAAGACCGTAAAAAATTCTTTAAGAACGCAGATGAGTTTACAAAGAAACATGGCGAGAAGCGGCCAGTGGACTGATATCGCATGAGCGCGTTTCCCTTGTTTCTCCTTTGCCCACTCCTCCAAAACCGTTTCCCCCAATCCGAGTCCCCGCCAGTCCGCCCTCACTCTCGGTCCCCCGCGAGCATCCCAGCCGCATTTCACCTTCGGCAGAAGGACCCGTGACTTCTCAGCCTCTGGGTGTCGAAGCGTGTTAAAATTGTGATGAGGGGAGCGTGCGAATGAGAACTCGATAAAAGTGGTGAGATTTGGGGGTGGGGAAGGACGGGGGCGAAAAGGTTGTTCCTTTTAATTTGTTCTTAAATTGCACAGAGATGTGTTCAGGTCATGTAATCTGCTGCGTGATGAATCTTGACTGTTTTCATAGCAGAATACTATGGTGAACCAGAGTATAATGTTAAGTCGTTTCACTTTCACATTTATGACATTGAAGAAATCCAATCCAATAGTTTGTTTAATGAAAACACGTAATACGTCAAAGGTGTGTGGCAAATGTTTCTTTTATATTTCTCTCTCATCTCTGTAATTTTTTGTTTTTTTGCTTAGGTTGCACTGTTTTCTGTGGAACAAGGTTTCATGTTCTTCATAATCTCAGTTTGTAACTCACTGAATCACAAACTAGTCACTCATCAATATAATGTTTATGATGTCATAAAAAGGAAAGCAAGACTTGACTTGACTTTGTGTCTGACTGAACATCATGTATATTAAGACCTTTCTGGGACACACAAACATTTCTTTAAGATTAAGGAACAATATTCTCTTAACTAAGAGTTTTCCCTAAAAACTTTAATTTCCTGTTTATTAATAGTAAAGTGGTAGTTGCGGTAGTTATGTTAAGTACTGGGTTGGGATAAGGGATCTAGAATATAATCATGCATTAATATGTGCTTTATAAGTACTAATAAACAGACAATATTCTAGTAATATGCATGCTAATAAGCAACTAGTGGATAGTGGTCCCTAATCTAAAGTGTTACCAAATTCCTAAACTAAACCTCCCTTTTTAACTGCACGTGAGATATACAGTCGTATAGGAATAGTAATATCTCTTTTCACTAGTTGATTCCTGGATTTGGCAGAAATTAGTAGTTTACACAAGTATACTAGTGATACAATCACTGTACTAAATTGCAGTTGTCAAGTTTTAAGGAAGCATTTTTTTCTTAGATTGAGGGGTTATGCAATTAATGTTAAAATAGCTGTAATGTTTTATTAGTTCTAGACAAAAACCTGTTTAGACCTATTATGCAAAATCCAAAACACCTTGTACATCTAACGATGAAGCACCTCTTCATCATGGCCATTAGGGGGCGTTTTGATGCTTCTGATCCAGGAAAACGTGAAATTAACTGCCAAACCACTATGAAGAAGATCTGATTACAATACTGGATTAAAGACTTTCAAGGTAAATGGGTCGATTTGTGCAATTCTATTTAAATATATTTTCTTATAGACTACAGGATTGTTCAGTGCAGATTTGGGGGTGGGGAGCTCAGTGCTCAGAAATGAGTTTAGTTGATTACAACAAGCTACCATAGTTGCCACCAAAATACACAAGTACAAATAAATGATTAAATGCTAAAACTGAATAAATTTAAATGAACAAACTTGGCGTTGCATTTGCAACCATGTGAAAACTGTAATGATCTCTGAAATGTAAATTGTAAGTGGGCTATAATAAACCCATGTTTATCTTTATAAACATGATTAATTTTACTTGTGATGTTTTCTATATGGGATGATCCTCATGAACATGTGACGCTAGCACGTGGTATCAGACATGAACTGTACAGAATGCGAACAAGATTAAAGGAGATAATGGCGCAAAAGTGAATTTCAGATTTTTTTTAAATACCCATCCCAGCAAAAACTTTCCAAAATTGGCATCCAAACAACACCAGCCCCAGCACGAGCACCGACGCAAGTGAACCAGCCCCCCCTTCACCCAACACGGACACACACAGCACCCCCAACCGAAAACATCTTCCCGCGCCCCTGTCTGTCCATAAAAACGTAGTGGTGGTTCCAAGGTACAGTGATGTTATCAGACGGTAAATTGTTTTATTACCATCATTATTGGCTACATTTGGGTTTTGGTTGCATGTAGACCCTCTAAAAATAGCCTTTGTGTTTTTTCAGTGGCTTCTACAGCCAGCACGCTGAACCCATTTTGTAGAAGCACACCCCTTCACCTCTACCCCCATCCCGCTTCTCTCTTAAGTATAGAACCAAGATTAGCATTATTAGATACGGCACTAAGCAGCTCTAAATGGAGAAATTAGCCCCACTGGATTAGTCCGTCTAACGATGGGAGGCCAGTGTCTGGCGTTAAATTAATTACAGTTTAAACCATTGTGTAAAGAAGATTGGACCTTGCTGCATTTTACAATTGATGAAAGACTGTTCAGACAACTGTGCTTACATAGTGTATAAAGATTTTTTTTACTCCGTCAACTCCTCAGATGATCAAATATACTGAGTAGGTGACATTGAAACAGTCGTCATCAAGAAATCTGGGAGAAAAAAAAAAGTCTTGGTTTGACTTAGTGTAGTGCTTGGGCCATGTGTCCGGCCACTGGGTTCCTAGAACCTTGTAATGATAAACCCATTACTGTCTGTGACGGCAGAGCAACTGTGTTGACACTGTTAGTGGCATCCTGCTGCTAAATACTTTAGAGTAAAAAGCTTCTGGCAGCAACATAAGATGTCTACACTGTAACTGCAAGCAAGCAACGTTACAAAACTAGAACATTGCTGTTATAACAAAAGTAGCTCTTTACACTGCTACCAAGCATTTGTGTTTATTGCAATAGCAGCGTTCTATCAGTTGCTCACTGTGTGCACATTATGTTAGTGGTTGCAAAGAAATAAGAAAGCATTTGTAGTTTTAGGGTTCATTTTATTGAGCTTTCTATACATATAAGACCTTCGGTTTTGGGATTAGTGGAAGGAGTGTCCATGTTTCTCTTGCTGGGTCCATCCTTCATTAAAAGAGCATTGCTCACTTCCTAAAATGTTGGATGGGGGCGGGGATCTTGATATCCTGGCCCTTTTCCAGCCTCTTCTCACACTCGATCAGATAATTGACACCATCAACGACTAGCTGCACCAGTTCCACCTTGTAAAGAAAAGCAGAGTCATGCTAGAGTTTGAGAAACTTATGCATGTAAAACTCCATGCAAGTTTACCCATTTGATTTTGAATGACCTACCTCGGATTTGCCCAGGCGGTCAAGGTTTGAGATGTCGAAGGTATCGCCCACTGCAGCTGTGTCCACACCTCCAGTGCCACGCTTCTGCAGCCGCAAGTTATCCAGGATCTTGCCAAAGCGAGGGTCCTACAGGCAATTGTTTGAATTAGACAGATTTCAACATTAGATACAGCTTTCTTCCGAAAGCTTTCACTATAAGATAAAGGTAATTATTGTTACCTTGCTGAGCTTTGGCAAGCGGACATGTACTCCAGCCCTGAGGCCGGTGCCCAGGTTGGATGGGCAGGTCAGGATGTAGCCAAGATGTTCATTCCACATAAACTCCCAGCCTCTCTCCTGAATCAAGTGTTCTACCTGTCCAACAGAGAGGCAGCCAACAGATGGAAGACATTAACCTTATAGGACAACTCTAGGTAAGTTGGCTAATTGTTAAAAGTATGAAGGACATGTGGTTTTACCTGTTTGAGTCCTCTGCAGAACCTCTCAAACACCCTTTTCATGTTGCCACCCTTCTGCATGGAAATGACACGGGTGTGGTCTTCCTCATTGATCCATATTAAGAAGGTCTTCTCGTTGTTATGCCTTGCAAATAACGGGATGTTTAAAAGACAAAAAGGGGCTCTGTACTGTCGTCATGCCAGCAAGTCCTGCTTGTTTTATGAATCAATAGTATCTTGCAGTAGTATCATCTTGCAGTAGTATCATGCCTTCAATGTAACATTAAAGGTACATATGAAAGTTTTATCTGAATGCAGTTCTTTGCTTGCAGGCAAATGTGAGAATATTTATATTGTTCTTATGTGACATATCTTGTTAGTTACATAAATGGTGATCAAATCGTGCCAAGAACTTCCTAAAGCCATACCAGATGCCTCTTGCATCTGGCCAGTCACGGGCCATAAAGGCACAAGTCAACAAGGGGGACACAGGTTTGTCAAACAGGAAGTGGTCCTACAGAAGGATGAAAGGAAGACAAAGGTAGGTGGAACTGGAGGAGGATCACAGAATTAGAGGAAGACCAGACACTTGGAACACTTCTTGAGTCAAATGCAACCTAGAAAAAAAAACTTGAAAGATGGGAAGAAGGGTCTAGAACTAAAGAGACTGTTGGGGTTGTACTGTCATGGCTTGTTTTCTCTCCGTCTAGCCTTACCAGATCCCACGAGCATCTGGCCAGTCCCTGGCCATCCCAGATGCAGTGAGCAGAGGAGACACAGGCTTGTCAAAGAGAAAATGCTCCTAAGCCATGCCAGCATGAAAGGAAGAGTTCAGCAACATGATGTGTGGAAGCAGCTCAGTTAAACCCAATCACATTATCAACCAGGCACTAAAGTATCCCATGACTGAAAGAACTTTATGGAAGCAACTCACGTCGATAAGTCTTTGCTGCTCTTGTTCAGTCATTTCAGTCAGGCTGTAGTAACGACCAGAGAGGTCTCCCTTCAGGCCAGCCAAGGCCTGGACCGTGACCCTTTCGACTTCACGTCGCTCAGAGCGGCTGCAGGCAGGGGGAAGGCTGAGGCCACGGATACTGCGGCCTGTGCGTACACGGGAGGACAGGACGTACTTTTCATCGAACATGCCTGAATGGATCTGGAAGATAAAGAACAACCAAGAAATGTTGGTAGAAAATAGAATTAAATGGGAATCTGAGAAATGCATTTTGCATGAAGAAATAAAAACAGGCATTCACCTTGGAGGCATCCAGGTCAGTGGGATGCTTCATGGTCCTTGGGTCATAGCCATTGTGCCTGTCCTTGATTACTGGATCAAAGATTTCAGCAAACACCTACAACGTCATTTGGCAAAGAAGTCAATGGTGTTGTCTCTAGATTAGTTTGCACAACATTACTTGAAAAGAGAGGAGAGGCAAAGCCAGAACTTGCTGAAAAGTCCAGCTTATACAATAATAGATTAGATTTGGCCAAGTTGGTTTATGTTGTTTAGTGGTGGTTTAGTTAGCAGACCAACATAGTTGTACCCTTAACTTGGTCTTTCTGGTGAAGCAGGATGATCAAGGAAGTCTTGCTGGTTAAGCTGGTTAAGAAGCCAGCATCCCAAACACAACATATACCATTGACCAGCTGGTCTTTTCATCAAGGATTAAACAAAACTACCTTAGGAAAAGAAGTTGGATATTATGTCATATTAAAAAAAGCATGTAGGTAGTTTGAATGTATGGCTGTACCTCATAGCTCTCCTCATCACCAGCAACTATCCCAACTGTCTTGATGAAGGGATGACCAGGGTTGTCCACACCAGTCTGAATGCACTGGTCAAGAGTCCAGTTGTTTGGGGTGATCTTGTCCCTCAGTTTTGCATAGATGGCCGGGGTTAGTGCCCCGGCCATGCAGTTGTTGTGTTTGCGAAGGTCAGGGAAGTCAGCACTGTTGAGGAACATAAAGTCACATCTTTAGTCATGTTCTGTCATTGGGTTAGACCTAGAGCCTGTGGAAGTGATGACTGAGAGGAAAATTACGTCCAAATTGTTGGCTATCATGCCCCATGGCATTCTTGTAGGAATGAAGACTGTGTTCAGCAGTAGAGTGATGCAACAGGGAACACTACAGAAGGTCATTTCTGTCTACTGCTATAAGACTGTACAACTCATCCACTATGTGCAGAGTTGTCATTGGCACTGGCTCGAATGGTGAACCTGTTGGAGATTCAGTCAAGTCACAAGACTACACTAGTGAGGACTTTGTAGTGTACTACTACCCGAAAGTCTATCCAGGATTAAGTCAGTCTGGACTTAGAGGATCTCAAAGCTTGAGGGAGGTATTTGGGGCAGATTAACTTCTTGTGAATCGGGCCTAAATCCAAAATCTATAGGACTGTAACAGGAGACTGACTGATCATTTCTCGGTTGAAGGTTTAGTGTGAATTTAGGTGTAGGATGTTGGTTTTGGATCACCCTAAAAGAGTAACTCTCTTCATATTTGGCTCCTTCAATGAACTTAAATCTTGGACTGCTGATCTGATTTGATCTTTGGCGTCTATTAGAGTAGTGCAAATAAGGTGACATGCGGGACGGGACATAAGCTACTTAAGTGTCATGTTCCCACCCATTTACCTTTCACTCAGTTAACGTGTGATACTTCATCACACAGTACATCATGACCTCTACGTCTGATCATATTTTTTACATTACAGAACAGGTGCAAGTAAGCTGATGGAATAGAAAGTAACTCACCCTTCTTCTTAGATTCTCATGCATTTTATTCAGACATGATTGCTAAATATGCAATGTGTTAAGTGACAAATGGTAATCAATAAAGCAAGTCTAGATATTTATTAAATAATGACTAGCTGTATTTCATGCGATATTATCAATGGGATGTAATTGTACTCACGCCTCCAGTGCTTACCTGGGAGGGTAAAGTTTCCTCCTCTGATCTGCAGAGACGGCAGCATTATCGCTCATTAAGTAACCAGTTGCCACAGCACCAGCCCCAAGGCTCGCCATGAGCAAGCCAGTGGTACGGCTCGACATCACCTTGGCGAATGAGCTTGCCATCTTCACACCGTTTCTTGTCAAAAAGTTCTGACAGGATCAGCACTGGTAGAACAAGGTGGCAAGGTTTTCACAATGATCTTAGCTTCTTTTTAAGACTATAGCTATCAAACTAAACTTTGTGTTAGTTGATGGTGCCCTAAGCTGACAAGTATCACCTGATTTAAGATGGCAGCTTACTTGTTTCTGACTGGTTACCTTCTTAAGAGACTGGTTGATTAACTCTAATACTTTCTTTTACTAATTTTCCTTCACCAGTTTCTAAAGAACAGTTAAGGAGGAACCTTTATAATGTTTCTGAGAACTGTTCTAAATATAAGGCATAGTTTAAACCAAACAAAATTTTGTAATATTTTGTCAAAGAAACCAAACAAAGGAACACTTAAAATACATTTCAAATACACCTCTACAATTTGGAACCCCAAAATTGGGTCAATCAATAATGGTTTGTCCACAGCAGATTCTTAAACTTTAACATTTGGTGACATCCTTGACAAAGTCCTTTTGACACTGCAACTGGAACTCTAAAAGTGAAAGTGTTATTAATAGACTAGCAGACTACATGAAGTGTTTGGAACGGAGCCCCAACTGGCACCAGTCTACCCTGAGGCCTCGTGCTCAAGCCGTGACATTCTGAACCGGTCACACAAGCGTATACAAGACCCAACCAGAATCTGGCAGCTTGAACTCAGATCTACATTATACACCAAAACCATGAACACTCTGTGATACTTCTAAGCAGGTGGCCCGTCTGCACTTGACCGAGGTTTAAGGTCTACCTCTCGGCGGAGTTGTGGGGGATTACTAGGCTTTTAACTCAAGGATTAGTCCAGAATGTTAGAAGAATAGCACTAAATAAGATACTGTTTAATGTCCATAAAGATGGCACAGTGATTCCAACAAATGCTTCCTACTGAAATAGTAACCTATATAGGTATCTGCAATCTGTTTTACAGTCATTCAATACAACTTAAGTATATCAAATGAGTAAAATAATTAAAAGTTGTACCAAATATACACTACACTGCACTTTGTTAATAAGTAAATATCCAAGCAAATAAAACAGCTGATTGTTGGCTTACCACTTTGCATCCAGCATTTTCAATATTTACAATTTAATGGAAAGCGATGAATGATTTCTTACCAGTTACGGGAATTCCTAATTCTCAAACTTAGCTTAAGTTTTTTTTTTTTTTTGTGAGTAAGTAGTATAAGGGAAGAGAGTTTTACCTGTAGAGTCTCCTCTGTTACAGTAGGTTGTGTCAGGAAGCACACAGTCTGTGAGGGAGGCTGGCGCTCCTCCCAGGATATGGGATTAGAAGTGGACCCGATGGCCAATCCTCTTCCACGTAAGTGCCAGGTCATAACCCATGTCTGTCGTCCGGCTTGCCCTTGAGACTTGCCGCCATAGTCCAACATTTTGCATTGTATGCAGCCTCTTAAATATAACCACTACCAGCTCTTTAAAGGGCACCTATTATGCCTCTTTTACAAGATGTAATATAAGTCTCAGGTGTCCCCAGTTACAGCAGCGAAATATACAGTTACTTGTAGCTGTCTACGGTGTTAAAGGGGTGATATGATGTTGCTAAAAAGAACATTATTTTGTGTATTTGGTGTAATGAAATGTGTTTATGCAGTTTAAGGTTAAAAAAACACATTATTTTCCACATACTGTACATTTCTCCTCTATGCCCCGCCTTTCTGAAACGCGTCAATTTTTACAAAGCTCATCGTTCTGAAAAGCGAGGTGTGCTCTGATTGGCCAGCTATCCAGTGCGTTGTGATTGGCCGAATACCTCAAGCGTGTGACGGAAATGTTACGCCCCTACCATACTGTGATGCCCTGTCCGGCCGGAGCGACTAGACAAAAACATTAAAACCCATTACAAACGAGGCATTTGTTGCATCCAGTAGGGACATAATTACGGATTATAATGACGCATCGCGCCGCGTACACACAGCGTCTCCCTGACATGCTGCTTCAACACTAACTGCGGTTACTGAAACCACGCCTTCTTTCTTTGCGTGCACATTTGGGCGCATTATGTAAATATTTCCACATAGTGAGGTAGATATGTGGGGCGTGTTTAAACGAGGCGTTTTAGGAGGGCATGGACCAGTCTTATAAAGAATATCTCTTTGGGTTTGAGACTTTAGTCTTTGCAACTTTAGGGATCTTATCTATTCACGAACAGCTTGTAACACTCCAAAGAGAAAGGAAAACTTGAAATCGCATCATATGACCCCTTTAATATGACCCAAACAATAAAATAAAAGCAGAAAATCACTCACTGCTCTTGAATGAATTATTTCTGTAGCTCTAATTAGAAGACATTTCTTACTTGAACGCTGCTTTTAAATGCTCTTGCGTGAAGATAAACATGATGGATTGTGTGCGGCTCACTCAGGGCGGGGTCTCTGCTAATACGGCAGTGTCTGTCAGCAGTTGTGGGCGGGGCGTGTAAAATGTGACGTCACATTTTATGGATTCTGCAAACGACATCTAGAATAGACAAGTGGACATCTAGAATACTTCTTTAAATCACAATAATTATCCTATTATCAAGTAACTTGCATAGACAGGCAGCAAGCTAGCTAGCCAGAATGATAAAAACATATGTTGATTATACAAATGATCTTTTGAATGCATAATGGAAAACAAACCATACAGAAGATAAGACCAATTTTATTTCAAAGGTTACAGCTACATTATGGATAAATGTACAGAACATTTATGTCATTGACTGAAAAAGATGTGAAATCAATTATGGAAAAAAGACCCTTCTTTAGAAAGTGTGCATGAGTCAACAGCATTATTTAAATAAAAAACAACAATGCAGGGCTGCCTATGTTTACAACATCAATAAGTTTTCCAGGTAAAAGTTAAAATAAATGAATATATACCCAATTAAATAAACAGGACACTGTGCTGAATCTATGTTTGAATTAAACAACAACTATGTATCTTTGTACAAAAACAGACTTAAATGCCCACTTAAACATTTGTGTAAAAATTTAAATACTGTCTCGATACAGCTGGGTGGAGTAAACTTTAAAAAAAAAAAAAAAAAAAAAAAAACTGTAAACTAGTGAATGATTGATTCCCTGCTCATTTCAAAATCAACAATAAACCACTTCTTCTGCATCAGCCAAAAAGTATCTTTTCTGCACATAACATAGTATGGAGTAAGGTGTATAATACCATAGTACACAGATATGGTAATAAATCAGTACAAAAGTCACTGTTTCATGGTACCATCACAGTATTTCTGAAGTGTAGAATATATGTAACAAATGCTTCGAATCTGCTATTGTTAATCCAAAAGTTAGAGACAAAATTTTTTTAAAGAAGAATTAAGAATATGATTAAGTACAGATTCATGCACACACATGCCAGAAAATATCAAAAAATGTCTACAAACAGAAACTAAATGAGCAAATGCAGCCTCATTGCAACATGCTGTGTAAACAGATGACACCTAATATTAACAAATGACAAATGTAAAAATATATTTCTTTTGCTAAACCGTAAACGTGCTTGGTTGAGCTTTGACATTTCAGCGAACTCCAGTGGATCAAAGTACTGACATGACTGTCATACATGCGGGCAGATTGATTGAGAAACTTGCTTGTCAAAATTGGACCAGCGAACATCAATCACACACATTTTTGACATCTGAACATATGTTTGCACGCATACACATTCTCATTATAGTAAAGGAATGATCAGACTTTAAAAATGGAACTGATATTGTGCATTCAGGTAAAAAAATTATCAAATGATTAAAATGCATCATGCTAGAAATATGCACTATGAAACTGTACATAATATTTACAAAAAGGCACATTTAAACCTGAGTTTACAGCAAAAAAAAAAAAAAAAGATGATACAAAATTATATGGAATGAAATTAATATATGGATAGGTTGTTGTTTCTATAGTGGACAGACTTCAGTTCAGATGTAAGTTTAGATTCCCACAAACTGACTATAAAAAGTTTTTTGATATCTGAGTCTGGTTGTAAACATTATCATCAGGTTTAGTTGGCAGGAGGGAGTCTTGGCTCAATCTTAAGAGATAATTCATAAAGTGTGTCCTCGTCCATTACAAGAGTCTTGTCGAGGAGGAACTGTGTTACCTTAGAGAAAAACAGCGATATGTTACATAAATTGAGAACCAACTGCAAAGTCTGTCTTTTAAACCTATAAAGCTACTGTATCATATTTGATATGCAAATTTCTAAGGTTTCTAAATGTTCAACATGATCAAAACTTTGCTGTTGAACCTGTCACACTCAATCTACTCCATGCCTTCTGTCGTCTGATTGATAGTTCAGACTTTTTTAGTGTAATTGTACAAACGTCCAGCTTCAGCTGGAGCTTCACGAGTCTTTCTGCTGTCAAATCTTGACTGATTTTTATAAAGTAAATGTAAGAATAACTGAAGCAATATTTCCAGATGAACACTTACTGGACTGAAGCAGCTCAGCTTTACTTGATTCTCCATCAAATTTTTTTTTAGAAAAATCAGTGCGTCTCAAATCTGATTATCGGGATGTTTTGAGGAGCGTTTGTTTCCAGAAGCTTTACTTTCACTGTTCCTCAGCGGAGGAATGATCTTCACAAGCCTCCAGAACATCTCACATCTTCTGAGGAGCCTTTATTTCTTCAGCTCTCAATCAGCATTGGATTGCATTGCATTAAATGTTTGGATCATTTAAATCTTGTCTTACTAAGACATATTATTGGAGATATATTGGAGTGACCACTGATATTTATATCATTTTATGTAAGTATCTGCTGTACTGTTATAAAGATCTCATTGATCATATAAATAATCAGCATCTGCACCAAACTGCATATTTTACTAAGTTTGTGTCTGAATAAAATTCAAGTCCAAAAAATAACAATTATTTCACATAATTATTTCACTTCACCTAAAGCAATTCTTTATCTACTTGTTCCATAATATCACTGTACATTCAGACGATACCTTGGGTTGCAGATCAATCCTGTAGGGCGCCTGCTGAAACTGTCGGATCTCTCGTATTATGTGTGAGATCTGTGAAAAACAACAAACAGACATTTGAAGACAGGTTCACTGATGTCTTTTGAAATCCTGAGATTTGACGTCCTACAAACACCACAAGCTGAAGAACTGTTTAAATACCATCCTCATTTTAGAGAAGTTGACGAGACCCTCCTCTGTGAAGTTGGGCGTTCCCTCCTCGATAAACGCCAAATCCGTCAGGTACATGCCCAGATAGGGCACACACGGAGGGTTACAGCTGCTGAGTAAATACGCCACTAAGTATAAAATCACAGCACAAACTTACTTTTTCAGAGTTTCCCTCAGGTTCTTAAACCTCCCTTCAGATGAAACTATCTTCTGCAATCTGTCCATAAGTGCCTTGGTCTGATAATTAACAAAATCCCACATGGTTAAAATAAAAAAAATAAAAATAAACAAAAATCACAAAAACTGTTTGTTTACATAGGGTGACCATAAATTCTCTTTTCCTTCTATATGTTCGGAGGATTTTTAATGATTGAAGGCCTGCATAATGAATCATATTTTAATCATTCATGGCTGCGGTTGCCAGATTTCAAGAGTATAAATCCCCCAATTTTTTTTCATAAATCAATAAATTTTTTTGTCCAGCAGTTTACTTAATCTTCCCAATCTGGCAACCATGCGCACTCGCTCTCTCTACATTATGAAATAAAAAGCGCTGCTGATCTGAAAACACCAGCAAACATATAAGTTAGAGTTTAGCAATCTCTACTGAGATATTCAGCTAAAATAAAATGTAATACACATCAAAGTTTGATGTGACTAAATCTGCGAGCAAACCATGCGAGTTGATAATTTTTTTGATTTGTGCTTATGTGAAAGTGCAATAATTCGAATGAAAGGTCAAAATGACAATATTCATGATTATATTTCTGAGCAAAATAATCGTAATTAACCATTTAACTATTATCATGCATCCCTAGTTTGACCAATAGGATGCATGCATTGTACATAATCGACCAATCGTGGTGTGCGAGGAGGCGGAATCTACAGAGAACAATCAAAGCAAAGCAAATAAGACATACATATAATGTATGAGGACTGTAGAGAGCATGTCAGTAAGGAAAACAAAGCCAAACATCAGACATTTTAGCAAATTAGAAGGGCGTATGGCCACCCTATTTTACAATCCTATGGAATCTGTGAGGCTTTTTTTGACTCACCTGTTTGCAAACCTTGGCCCACGTTTTCTTTAGCCTGTAGATGGCGCTGCGGTTCAGTGCGGATGTGATCTCTAACACGCCGTTGTAGTTGTTGAGACAGCGGCATATATCAGCCACGGCTAGCCACTTCTCAATGGATGCAGCTCTGGAGCTCACGTCTGCATGAGCCATGATCTGAGAGGCTACCAGATTACTCATCTGTTCAGAAAATGATTAAGAAGTTACACTGACTCACTCACATCACATTAGGGATTTACAGTTACAAAAGAAAACTATTTAATGTTGTCTTTTTCAGTTTTAAAAATGGGATAAAGTGCTGCAGTTTCTAAAAAGCTAACTATTAATTATATGATATCTAACTATTAATTTTACTGTAACACTCTACAATAAGGTCTGTGTTTTCCGTAAAAATACCCTTGAGACTATTAACCATTTATTTTGGGAGTGAACAGATTTAAAAAGAAAAGCTAGGATTGTTGTTTTGTAGAAGCTACAAATGTTGTTAAAAAGTTTTTTTAGTTGATGGTGATGTCAAGATTGTATTTTTATTTGATTTAATTGTTATAATCGCTTGTTATTATATTCATAAAGATAATTGGAATGAAAAAATGTCAATCTTTGAACAATTTAAAACTGATGTTCCAAAAGTAAAAACTGGAAAGCAGTAAGAACTTTGCAGCTTTTTAATGTTATTTAATATGTTTTTTTTTGTTTTGTTTTTTTGTATTACGTATATGTGTATGTATATATTTACATGTAGATCTACCCCTGACATGTTTGGTTATATGTACTCTTGTAAATACAATATATTTGGTTATTAATTTAAAATAAAAAAAATAAAATACATTCATAAATAACATTTTACAACAAGGTCCAAATCATTAACATTAGTTAATGCATTGGCTAACATGAACTAACAATGAGCAATATATATATTTATTACAGCAATCATTAGTCTTTAATAATGTTAGTTAATAAAAGTACAATTCTTCATTGTTTGTTAAAAAAATTATTTAAAAAATGTTAGTAAATGTTTAAATTAACATTAACAAATGGTTTGTTCATTGCTTGTTTACTAGTGTTGTTAACTAATGCTAACAAATGAAACATTATTATTATTATATGTGACCCTGGAGCACAAAACCAGTCTTAAGTCGCTGGGGTATATTTGTAGCAATAGCCAAAAAAACATTGTATGGGTCAAAATTATAAAAAAAAATTAATGCCAAAAATCATTAGGATATTAAGTAAAGATCATGTTCCATGAACATATTTTGTAAATTTCCTACTGTAAATACATAAAAACTTCATTTATGATTTGTAACATGCATT